ATTACTCTTATTATTATCACACAAATACAAGCTGAGTTATGTTTTCCTAAATTGATGTCGGTGACAGTGAACTCGGTATAGGTAGGTCAGCTAGAAAACTACTATAATAATGATGACCAATCGAGCACAGACACTCTGAACACAATTGATAATAATTAAAAAAAAATATTAAACATAATCATACGTGTTAGTGTAGGGGTTCAACACTGACAAGGACACATTTTTTTCCGAATGTAATGGCATAAGAATGAAGTATTTAAAAACAAAACAGGAATTTCTTACTATTGATGATTCACTAGTTCACTTGAAAATTTAGCGTGTGTGTTCAAAACTTGAAATCTCCATGATAATTTAGGAAATATTGCAAGAGAAGAAATTGTGCACATGTTTATTTTACAAGCTCTACTTTGGTCTGCAATACTATGAGTATGATATGGTATATAAGTTTTTGTGATACTGATCGAGGATCTTATCAAAATAACTTACGCCATTTTTCATTAAAAAAATTTGAACTTAATTTTATAAGGCTTATGGACACAATTTATAGCTTATATAAAAAAGAATTCCTTTTAATCTTTTGCTATAAAAATAGCTTATGTAAACTTATACATAAACACTTTTATGCTATAAGTCGCAAATAAGGTATTTTCTTACTTCAACAGGGCCTATATCAAGATATTCTATTTTACCTGGAAACATTGATAACTTCTTCCTCTGCTATAATACATTGAAAGTTTATTTATGTACATTTTTGTTGTATCGTTGCTAAGGGGTCAAGCTGAGAAAGAGTTTAAGGTGGAGGTTGAAGCAATTGGAAAAGTGAGGCATAAGAATTTGGTTGGGTTAGTTGGATATTGTGCAGAAGGTGCTCAAAGGTAAATATAATGTTTAAATGACTTTTGATTTAAGGTCTTTCAAATGAAGACAGTTTCTACATATGTTGTCTAAAACGATTTTGCTGACTATACAGGATGCTTGTTTATGAATATGTCGACAATGGAAATTTAGAGCAGTGGCTGCATGGTGATGTAGGACCTGTTAGCCCCTTGAGTTGGGATGTAAGAATGATGATTGCAGTTGGCACTGCAAAAGGGTGTGTTTGTTGAATTCACTGTTCATTTTATTGATTTTGTATCTTAAAACATCAGTATCACCCATGTTAACTTTTCTACATTATGAAACAGGCTAGCCTATTTGCACGAAGGCTTAGAACCCAAAGTTGTCCACCGAGACGTAAAATCCAGCAATATTCTTTTGGACAAAAAATGGAATGCCAGAGTATCAGATTTTGGACTCGCCAAGCTCTTAGGATCTGGCAAAAGCTATGTGACAACCCGTGTAATGGGAACATTTGGGTTAGTTAATTAGTTCTTTCTTCCTTAGACCTTAGTTGATATTTGACTAAATTATTTCTTCTCACAAACAACGTTTCTGCAGATATGTTTCACCCGAGTATGCAAGCACGGGAATGCTTAATGAAAGCAGTGATGTGTATAGTTTTGGGATTCTGCTCATGGAGCTAGTTACAGGAAGAAGTCCCATTGATTATTCTAGACCACCCGCAGAGGTGAATGCATGATTTCTTTGATACAGTATTCCATGATATTGTAACAAGTCTTATGCCTCTATTTGTTTAATGTGCTTCAGATGAACTTGGTTGATTGGTTTAAGGGAATGGTAGCAAGTCGTCGTGGGGATGAGCTACTTGATCCTTTAATTGAGATTCAACCCTCTCCAAGATCATTGAAGCGTGCTTTACTTGTTTGTCTGCGTTGCATAGATTTGGATGCCAATAAACGACCAAAGATGGGTCAAATTGTTCATATGCTCGAGGCAGATGATTTTCCTTTTCGTTCTGTAAGCCTTAAGTTTCAGTCTCTTCATATTATAAGACAACACATAAGTTATGCATACATACATAGTTTTGAAACTAAATGCTATATTATAAGACAGCACATAAGTTATGCGCCACATACATAGTTTTGAAATTAAATGCCATATCCTAATATCGGTGTCTCAATGCCATAAATTTTTGCTGACTTCTCATCCATGTTGATAGGATCTTCGAACTAGAGAGAAAGATTATGTTCCCTCTCAGGCAGACGAATCCAAAAAGGTTCTGTATCAAACAAGGCATGTGGAGCCCGTATATAAAGCGAGCTGGAGATGAATGTCTGTTGAAATGGTCATGGCAGCCGTGGATTATGAATTACTTGTTCTAGTGATGTTCAACTTGTTATGAAAAAAGTCAGAAGCCATTATTGTGCATATCTTATACCACTTAGTTATCTTTCTTTAGATCTTAACATATTTAGTTGTATTTCAGTATTTTGTGAATAAACGAGCCTTGTAAATATCTAATATCTGTCATGATAAATCAATTTTATCAGTCTTCATAAGATGATACTGCTGCAATATTGCTTATATTATTTATTCATAATGATTTACTCAATGATCTTGTGTACCCACAACAATTCTTTACCTTACTATTTATACTATTAAGGCATAATAAATCTATAAACTAAGTATCCTACCCCATTCATTATTTATCATAAATTCGCACCACACTCTTCATCACATTATATCCTTTTTCTTAATACGCCCCACTCAGGTCCGTGATCATTTTTGATGCAGAATGATTTGAAATGATCTTGAATTAGCATTGTATACTTTTTCTTTGCAACACATTTGAAGGATGAACTATCTCTTAGTATCTCTCCTCATTTTTTAGCTACGATTAAATCATAGGAGGTTTGCACATGAAATTTTATGCAGATAAATTCTTGGGGATTTCTATTGAAGTAATTGCAGCTAGACATTAAAGGGAGAAAGATGAAGATTGAATAATGCAGAGAGAGTAAAATTGATTCACATTATTCTCAAGAATGAATACAAAAGGGGGAAACTTGAATTTATATTCAAGACTTCAAATGAAAAGTTGGCGGGAGAGTTTGTTATTGGCCAAAAGTTTTGCTCGCATAGGTTCCGCGAACTAATGCCTACGTATTCATTTTGAGGAACCAGAGCGTCGTAGTTCGCCTCAATAGTTTTGGTTTGTTTGTGTTTTTTATGGGTGACGAACCCTTTTGAAAAAGTTTTGAGTTACACCCTCAAGGTAAATATGCCCCGTTTGATTGATTTGTATTTTGTTATTTCTGAAAAATGTTTGAGTATGATTAAGTGTTTTGAATTTTTAAGAAAAAGAAAGTTTTAGTCTTAATGGATGCAAAAGAAAGAGAAAACGACTAAGGGAGACTAATCCTAATGTTGCCATGCAGAATGGACCTAAAGTTTGGATTAATAAAAGGGAGAATCTACCTAGTGTTAACATACAAAGATAAATCTAAGTGCGAGAATAACAATCCTATAGAGAACATGAAGTGAGAGCGAAGTCGTGATCTCAATTCTAATTGAGTGACTCATCGATCAAAAATAAATAAAGAAAATAATAAAGTCCTATAGGGAGTAAGTATTGAGAGCGAAGTCGTGATCTCAATTCTAATTGAGTGACTCATCAATCAACAATAAATAAATGAAAGCGATAAAATCCTATAGGGAGTATGCATTGAGAGCGAAGTCGTGATCTCAATTCTAATTGAGTGACTCGTCGATCAACGATAAATAAAACGAATGCCTACATCGTAGGACTTCAGATGCAGATGCATGGAAGAGAAATAAACTCAAGTGATACCTAACGGAGAAGGTCCGTTGTCTCTTCAAAGCCACACAAGTGATAAGAAAACTCTACAGAACCTGCTTCGCACAAGTGATCAACAAATTAATCTCCAAGTGTTCCACATCGCAAAAGTCGCATAAACATTCTATCACAAACTCTTAGCAAAACGTGACAACAAAATGATTACTAAACATAAAAAAACAAAAATAGAAAACTCTGATTGAAATCCTAAAGAGAAATCCTAAAATATTCTAAAATATTCTAATTTTTTGTATCATTTTTATCGCTGATTTTAACAAAATAATAGCAAAAATTGATACAAGAAAATTTAAGAGGAAGTCTAAACAGAGGGGATGAAATCAGGATTCAGGGAGTATTATTTCAGCAAAAGAAACTAGGGCGCTAGGCCCAAATCGTGAGTCCATCAAGGAATTTTTGTTCAACCTTTAGCATTAGGTTCCAAAAACCAGAAACCAATGACCTGGACTTAGAAGCTTGTGATTCGGTCCAAACAAAAATGACACTATGATCCAATTCTTTTTGTTCAATTTACTATTTATTGAATTATAACTAAAACAATTAATCAAATTAAAAATATTAAGAGAAATTAGGGTTAAGTGTTGTAACCTTTCAACTTCATCGTGAAAACAAATAAAAGCTCTTTCCTATCCTCTCTTCAACTTATAGCGGTGTCGGAAAATCGACGTTCTTCCTTACTTTACGGCGGCAAACTTCCTTCTCCCTCTCGAACTCAACTTAGCCTCTTCTTCCACCGTCTTAATTCGTTTTCCGGCCACCGCACAAACCGTCTCCACTTCGCTCATCTCGACACAAATCAAACCTTAAAAGGGAAAACGGAAATCGCAGGATTGATGGCAGAAGCTTACCGGTCGGAGTTCGTCCAGCGCGTCTTCAATGGCGGCTCTAATGGCGGGAAAACATGAGAACAAAATCAGGTATGCGTTCTGAATTTTCTTCTTTTTTTCTTCCGCTTCCGCGCTTGCGAATCTGGAACTTCTTCTTCTTTTCTTCCAATTCTGTGTTTGCGTGCAGATCGATGAGGCGAAATTGTTGATGATGCAGATTGATGGTGAAGACTAAAGATGATTGAAGCTCCGTGAAGATGCAATGAAGATACGTGAATATGAGGGATTGTTGGAATTGCAGTTCGCAGTTCAAAGAAGTTTGTAGATGACAGTTGAAGAGAGTGAAAAATCGATGTGATAAAGGTGGTTGAGGATGCAGATGAATGGAGCGAGTGCTGAAGATCGACGATGAAGAAGGAGAATGAAGTTGTTATGTTCTGATGTGGATGCAGAGAAACTTAGGGGAAAACTTTTGAGAAGTTGCAGTGAATAGGTTGAAGAGAGAAAGAGATGAAGATTGTTCTCAGAATTTTGGTGATTGGATGGTGGTTAGAAAGGGAAGAAGGTGGGTGAAGAAAAATGGTGGATCTCAGAGATAAGAAAGAGAGGTAAATGGGTGAGTGTGAAGACGAGTGTGATCGAATGATTCTCAAACTGAAAAATTGCGGTGAGTGATTATATTCTCAGGTGAGCTGTTATATAGGTTATTAGAGAGTTGGTTCTGTTATTTGAGCTGGCAAATTCGGTTAGGGTGATAATTCATGTGGACCATTAGATTGAGAGAGTTAATTGGGAGTAATGGAGGGTTTTAGGCAGTTAGAGATTCAGTTGGAGGTTTTGTTTGAGTAGTTATGTGGGCTTAGAAATTCTGTTATGGTGGTTACATGAGCTGGCCAAATTAGTTGCTAGGGAACAAGTTAGTTGGAAATTAGTTGAACTTCTGTTTTTCTGTTAGAGAATTAGTTTTCTAATCTTCTTCTGAATTATGAGTTTAATACTGATATGCTGAGCTGTGATTTTTCTGACTTAATTCTCTGCTTAATGTTTCCGTTTCTTCTTTTATTTAATTTCTGTCAATGATATGTGCAGGGCTGATCATTCTGATTGAGTGATGTTAAGAAACTGGGAAATGTTAGCTTGAAGGCCATGTTATGGATTGACATTTAGGGAAATTAACTGGACTGGTGGAATTAGCCAAACATCAGCTGCATTGATTGAGGTTAATCTCAACTTCTTGTGTGTTAACCTTCTTTTGAATTGTATTTCTTTTGGTTTCTCGAGCTCTCAACAGGAGAATACATCCTGACTTTATTAGCTGCCTTTATTTCTTCTTGCTAAAGATTTGTATGGTCTAAGCCTTGTTTTTTCGATTTTCTGTTAACAAAATAGCATGGCTTCCATGATGTTACTGATCTTTCTTTTTTTCTGTTTTGAAGCATAGCATACTCGTGGCTGTCTTGATATGGATTTATGCTATGGTGCAGGTTTGGTATTGGAACAACATGAAGAAGATGGTGAGTTTTATGTAAACAGGGCTGAAGTTGCAAACTATTTTGGATGTATTAGCTTGAGTATTATGTATGCTGATCAGGATGTATGGTTTACATATTGTTTCGGCTGCAGGTATGTTAACGGGATTAAAGGTTGTATGGATGAACATGTATTGGATGTAAGCCTTGGTTTACTTTTTTGGATTTGATGAATTTAGTGTATGTTGCGGTAGATTGGGTAAGAGAATAGGATAAGGAGTAGTATGTTGACTTTGGTCACAATGTGTTTTTTTTTGTAAGTTTCCCAATGTACTTGGATTTTTTAGGAATGTAATTGAATTTTGAACTTTATGCAACTTGCACTTTAAAAAGTGACTACTTTGCCTTCCTTTTACTCTGCAACTTTGATGAACACCATATTCTAAGGAGGTAGGTACGAAGGAACTTAAGAATGACTTTGGTCAATGTTTTGAAATGACTCCAAGAAAACTCCAAATGAATTCACATCCCTCCGACGCATGAGGCCCAATGATATACCTTGTTGCACAATTAATGATCATAAATCATGCCTTGAATGATAAGAAAAAAAACCAAACGGAATCCTGATTGTGAAGTGAACCAACATGGTGATAATAGAAATAGTTGACTGTGGTGACTTTTAATGTAACGAATCATGATTAAAATGGAAATATAACTTTTGGAAACCTTTGAGTCCATGACCAATTCTCACATATTCAAAGTGTCCCTCCAACTTGATTTTGATGTTCTAATTCTTCATTTTGTTTTCAACCTTGCTATACTTGAATGAGCACTTAACAAGATAATAATAAAAACCACAATCTTGACATATACTTTGGTTAGAAAATCAAAGTTCCACCACATCCTCTGTTTTGAAATGATTCATAAGTTCCACCATGTTTCATATTAAATCTTACAATCCAAAATCAATGATTTGTAATCCGATTAACCAGATAAAACCTTGAATCAATGACATACAAATCCATAATTGTGAAATGAATCTGCATTGTTCTCTTGGACAAGATTCAAAGCCAAGCTCTCATGATCCAAGTAACCAAATAATACAACTTCCAGTGATTGTAAGAACCCAACAATGAGACCCCAAACCTATGGTAATTATAAACACAATCAAATGCATCTTGGTCCATGATCCAGATAAAACCTTGAATCAATGACATACAAATCCATAATTGTGAAATCAATCTGCATTGTTCTCTTGGGCAAGATTCAAAGCCAAGCTCTCATGATCCAAGTAACCAAATAATAAAACTTCCAGTGATTGTAAGAACCCAACAATGAGACCCCAAACCTATGGTAATTGTAAACACAATCAAATGCATCTTGGTCCATGATCAAGAAGAAAATCCAATGAACACCAGCCCTTAAAGTAAAGAAACCCTATTGATTACTCTGATCCATGCTCCTTAATCAAGATATCTAAGTGTAACGTCCATTTATTTAATTAAATTATTGTTTTCAGTTATTTGTTGAAGTTGTAAGATGTTGGGAATTATTGGTAGAAGTTGCTAGATTATTAATTAATTAGTTGATTAATAATAATAATGTTGGAATTAATAGAATAATTGTGTTGGGCCTATTTTATTGGTTGAATGTAGTAAAGTGGGTGTGTGAAAGTTAAGCCCAATAGGATTGACATATATAAGGTTAAGCTGACACAAGGATTTGACTTTTGGAGAATAAGGAGTTTTGTACGTTGACCGGAAGAGCTACACGGAGAGAGGAGCAGTTGTCCGATGTCGAGTAGAGCAAAACGAGGATTACGGCCGGAGCTTTGGTTGAGCGAACTTCAATCCAGGTAAGGATGGGGTTCTGACCTTATAATGGGATTTATGATGTGTATCATGTGGGAATTGGTCGTTAGTATGACTGTGTGCGTTGATGTTTCTGGATTTTTTTATCGAAGTTGCCCGTTTCTCTATGTTGTGGTCGTTAGGGAGTCATTATATGGTTGTATCGCATGATTAGTGAACCTGTTGTTGAAGTTGTTCGTTAGTAGTGTTGTGGGCGGTTTTGAGTTGTATGTATGATTTCCCGGTAGAATCGATGATTAGGTTAGTGTAGTTTATCACTGGGTGGTGTAATCGTTATGATGATGTGGTGTTCCGAGCAGTTGACAGGAAATTAGGAATTGTTGTTGTGGTCGTATTGGGAGGGTTTATGTGCGATGGTCTTATAAAATGAACGAATCTGTTGATAGGAAATATAGTTGCCTGTTCCTGTGGTATTCTGAGCAGTTGGTCGAAAGTTCTAAATTGTATTGATGTGGTCGTTATGACGTCGTGTTGTTCTGTGTTGTTGGTCGAACTGGTGGTCGAGGAGGATGCTGATGGTGTTAGGTGTCGAGCGGCGTTTAGGTTGCGAAGTGTGTCGGAGAATATATGTGTTGGATGTCGAGCGACATTAGGCTGTGAGGCATGCCGAGGAGCACGGTACTGTTGTCGAGAGGAACGAAGTTGCAGGTTGAGCCGAGGAGTATAAGTTAGTTGTTATTCTTCTTAGTTGCTGTGTAAGTTGTTATGCGTTGAGAAATTACAGGTTGATGATTTATGTTGAGATGTCTCTAATTATAGGCAGATATTAAATTGTAGGCTTATGGACAACGTTGAATTATATTTATTTATGTTGAATTATTAATAAGTTGTAGGCTTATGACAATGTTGTTGTGTTGTTGTGATTGTTGTTGTGAATTTTTGTTGATAATGCGAAGTTGCAGGGAATTTTGAATGACGATGAATTACCTCTATTTACTAGTAATAATGGTGATATAGGCTTATGTCTTGCGATGAACGATGATTGTTATGAGTATGTGATAGTGAATTCATTGAGTCACATACATTTGCATATTTTGCGAAGGCCTGGACTAGCAAACTGCGAAGAAGGCTTATGCCTTGTTGATGCCTCTATTAATTGGCAATTATTAAGTTGGGAGTTCTGCTATGTTTTTAAGTTGGGAGTTCTGCTCCGTTTTTAAGATAGGAGTTATGCTCCATTAGTACCACATGCATATGCATAGTAACTAGTTTCATTTCACGTTGCATATTGAGTTATCGTGTTGATGAATTAATTATTATGTTTCGTTGATGTTTTGTTGTGATTGATGTTGTTTAAATTTTTGAAGTTGTGGTTCTGCATAGACTAATTATAATATAATATATATCATATATTTGAGTATATTGTCCGATATATCACCCCTTCTGTTTGAATGTTACCCCGATGTTGGTAACATGCAGGTAATCTAGAGTGAAGGTTGTTTACCTTCAGTAGTTCGAGTCGGTGCCATTGCTCTAATACGTAACACTCAGGGGGATGAACGCTTGCTATTTTATTGTTGTTATTATTTCAGTTGATTGAACTTTAAGTTGTTATTCATTAAATAACTGTTATTTGAAGTTGTTTTAGTTGGATAAAGATGTTATATTCTTTAAGTTGAATATTTGATTCCGCTGCGAGGTTATGAAAATTGCTGGTTTTAAAAGATGAATTTATGTTGTTGTTGGTTCATCCAGATTTAATGTGTTATGTATCATTGATGAATGTCGTTGTATTTTAGTTGAATTTGTAGCATCCCGATTCAGTTGTCGAATTTTTGTAACTCTGATTTTATATATAATTATTGGATAAAACTGGGGTGTTACAAAGTTGGTATCAAAGCAAAGTCGGCCCGTCCGACCAAGTTGTCGAGTCGTAGTTTGTTTAACAATCGAGTATTGTTAACTTGAGTTCTAACCGTTGTTTATGTTGTAGTGATAAGTTGAGATGGCTGGAAGGAACGATGTTGCACTTACTTCCGCTTCAGAAGTAATGGCGCATGCTGTGGAGAATCAGCCGAACGCTGACGGGAATGCTGGATCTCGTAGTTTGGCGACCTTCCAGAGGGAGAATCCGCCTACCTTCAAGGGTAAGTATGATCTTGACAGAGCGTTGGATTGGTTGAAAGAGATTGAGAGGATCTTATGTGTGATGGATTTCACTCCAGCGTAGAAGGTTCTATATGGTACTCATATGCTAGCAGTCAAAGCTAATGACTGGTGGCTAGAGACGTGTCAAAGGTTGGAAGCTGTTGGTGAAAATGTCACTTGGGCTGTATTTCGTAGGGAATTTCTGAGGAAGTATTTCCTTGAAGATGTTTGTGGTAAGAA